CTTTCAGTTTTTGCCCATTCAGTATGATATTGGCTGTGGGTTTGTCATAAATAGCTCTTATTATTTTGAGACACGTTCCATCAATACCGAATTTATTGAGAGTTTTTAGCATGAAGGGATGTTGAATTTTGTCAAAGGCCTTTTCTGCATCTATTGAGATAATCATGTGGTTTTTGTCTTTGGTTCTTTTTATATGCTGGATTACGTTTATTGATTTGCATATGTTGAACCAGCCTTGCATCCCAGGGATGAAGCCCACTTGGTCATGGTGGATAAGCTTTTTGATGTGCTGCTGGATTCGGTTTGCCAGTATTTTATTGAGGAATTTTGCATCGATGTTCATCAGGGATATTGGTCTAAAATTCTCTTTTTTTGTTGTATCTCTGCCAGGCTTTGGTATCAGGATGATGTTGGCCTCTTAAAATAAGTTAGGGAAGATTCCCTCTTTTTCTATTGATTGGAATAGTTTCAGAAGGAATAGAACCAACTCCTCCTTGCACCTCTGGTAGAATCCGGCTGTGAATCCGTCTGGTCCTGGACTTTTTTTGGTTGGCAAGCTATTAATTATTGCCTCAATTTCAGAGCCTGCTATTGGTCTATTCAGGGATTCAACTTCTTCCTGGTTTGGTCTTGGGAGAGTGTAAATGTCCACAAAATTATCCATTTCTTCTAGATTTTCTAGTTTATTCGCTTAGAGGTGTTTATAGTATTCTCTGATGGTAGTTTGCATTTCTGTGGGGTCGGTGGTGATATACCCTTTATCATTTGTTATTGTGTTTATTTGATTCTTCTCTCTTTTCTTTTTTATTAGTCTTGCTAGCAGTCTATCGATTTTGTTGATCTTTTCAAAAACCAGCTCCTGGATTCATTGATTTTTTGGAGGGTTTTTTGTGTCTCTATCTCCTTCAGTTCTGCTCTGATCTTAGTTATTTCTTGCCTTCTGCTAGCTTTTGAATGTGTTTGCTCTTGCTTCTCTAGTTATTTTAATTGTGATGTTAGGGTGTCAATTTTAGATCTTTCCTGCTTTCTCTTGTGGGCATTTAATGTTATAAATTTCCCTCCACACACTGCTTTAAATGTATCCCAGAGATTCTGGTATGTTGTATCTTTGTTCTTACTGGTTTCAAAGAACAATTTTATTTCTACCTTCATTTCGTTATGTACCCAGTAGTCATTCAGGAGCAGGTTGTTCAGTTTCCATGTAGTTGAGCGGTTTTGATTGAGTTTCTCAGTCCTGAGTTCTAGTTTGATTGCACTGTCATCTGAGAGGCAGTTTGTTATAATTTCTGTTCTTTTACATTTGCTGAGGAGTGCTTTATTTCCAACTATGTGGTCAATTTTGGAATAAGTGTGATGTGGTGCTGAGAAGAATGTATATTCTGTTGCTTTGGGGTGGAGAGTTCTGTAGATGTCTATTAGGACCACTTGGTGCAGAGTTGAGTTCAATTTCTGGATATCCTTGTTAACTTTCTGTCTCGTTGATCTGTCTAATGTTGACGGTGGGGTGTTAAAATCTCCCATTATTATTGTATGGGAGTCTAAGTCTCTTTGTAAGTCTCTAAGGACATGCTTTATGAATCTGGGTGCTCCTGTATTGGGTGCATATATATTTAGGATAGTTAGCTCTTTCTGATGAATTGATCCCTTTACCATTATGTAATGGCCTTCTTTGTCTCTTTTGATCTTTGATGGTTTAAAGTCTGCTTTATCAGAGACTAGGATTGCAACCCCTGCTTTTTTTTTTCTGTTTTCCATTTGCTTGTTAGATCTTCCTCCATCCCTTTATTTTAAGCCTATGTGTGTCTCTGCATATGAGATGGGGTCTCCTGAATACAGCACACTGATGGGTCTTGACTCTTTATCCAATTTGCCAATCTGTGTCTTTTAATTGGACCAGTTAGTCCATTTACACTTAAGATTAATATTGTTATGTGTGAACTTGATCCTGTCATTATGATATTAACTGGTTATTTTGCTCATTAGTTGATGCAGTTTCTTCCTAGCATCGATGGACTTTACATTTTGGCATGTTTTTGCAATGGCTGGTACCGGTTGTTCCTTTCCATGTTTAGTGCTTCCTTCAGGATCTCTTGTAGGGCAGGCCTGGTGGTGACAAAATCTCTAAGCATTTGCTTGTCTGTAAAGGATTTTATTTCTCCTTCACTTATGAAACTTAGTTTGACTGGATATGAAATTCTGGGTTTAAAATTCTTTTCTTTAGGAATGTTGAATATTGGCCCCCACTCTCTTCTGGCTTGTAGAGTTTTTGCCGAGAGATCTGCTGTTAGTCTGATGGGCTTCCCTTTGTGGGTAACTCGACCTTTCTCTCTGGCTGCCCTTAACATTTTTTCCTTCATTTCAACTTTGGTGAATCTGGCAATTATGTGTCTTGGAGTTGTTCTTCTCGAGGAGTATCTTTGTGGTGTTCTCTGTATTTCTTGAATTTGAATGTTGGCCTGCCTTACTAGGTTGGGGAAGTTCTCCTAGATGATATCCTGCGAGTGTTTTCCAATTTGGTTCCATTTTCCCCATCACTTTCAGGCACACCAATCAGACGTAGATTTGGTCTTTTCACATAATCCCATATTTCTTGGAGGCTTTGTTCATTTCTTTTTACTCTTTTTTCTCTACACTTCTCTTCTCACTTCATTTCATTCATTTGATCTTCAATCGCTGATACTCTTTCTTCCAGTTGATCGTTACTGAAGCTTGTGCATTTGTCACGTAGTTCTAATGTTACGGCTTTCATTTCTATCAGTTCTTTTAAGGACTTCTCTACATTGGTTATTCTAGTTAGCCATTCATCAAATCTTTTTTCAAGGTTTTTAGTTTCTTTACACTGGTCACATAGTTCCACCTTTAGCTCTGAGAAGTTTGATCGACCAAAGCCTTCTTCTCTCAACTTGTCAAAGTCATTCTCCATCCATCTTTGTTCCATTGCTGGCGATGAGCTGCATTCCTTTGGAGGGGGAGATGCACTCTGATTTTTTGAATTTCCAGTTTTTCTGCACTGCTTTTTCCCCATCTTTGTGGTTTTATCTGCCTTTGGTCTTTGATGATGGTTATGTACTGATGGGTGTTTTGGTGTGGGTGTCCTTTCTGTTTGTTAGTTTTCCTTCTAACAGTCAGGACCCTCACCTGCAGGTCTGTTGGAGTTTGCTTGAGGTCCACTCCAGACCCTGTTTGCCTGGGTATCAGCAGCGGAGGCTGCAGAAGATAAAACATTGCTGAACAGCGAGTGTTGCTGTCTGATTCTGGCTCTGGAAGCTTCGTCTCAAGGGTATACCCAGCCGTGTGAGGTGTGAGGTGTTGGTCTGCACCTAGTGGGGGATGTCTCCCAGTTAGGCTACTCAGGGGTCAGGGACCCACTTGAGCAGGCAGTCTGTTGTCAGATCTCAACCTCTGTGCTGGGAGATCCACTGCTCTCTTCAAAACTGTCAGACAGGGACGTTTACCTCTGCTGAGGATCCTGCTGCTTTTTGTTTAGCTATGCCCTGTCCCCAGAGGTGGAGTCCTCAGAGGCAGGCAGGCCTCCTTGAGCTGTGGTGGGCTCCACCCAATTTGAGCTTCCCAGCAGCTTTGTTTAACTACTTAAGCCTCAGCAATGGCATGTGCCCCTCCCCCAGCCTCACTGCCACCTTGCAGTTAGATCTCAGACTGCTGTGCTAGCAATGAGGGAGGCTCCATGGGCATGGGACCCTCTGGGCCAGGTGTGGGATATAATCTCCTGGTGTGCTGTTTGCTAAGAACTTGGTAAAGTGCAGTATTAGGGTGGGAGTTACCCGATTTTCCAGGTGTTGTGTGTCTCAATTTCCTTTGGCTAGGAAAAGGAATTCCTTTCCCCCTTGTGATTCCCAGGTGATGCCTTGCCCTTCTTCAGCTCTCACTGGTCGGCCTGCACCCGCAGACCAGCATCAACTGTCCAACACGCCCCAGTGAGATGAACCCGGTATCTCAGTTGAAAACGCAGATATCACCTGTCTTCTGTGTTGCTCATGCTGGGAGCTGGAGGCTGGAACTGCTCCTATTCGGCCATCTTGGGTGTGCCCCACCTAACTTCTTAATGATTGTCATTCTAACTGGCATGAGACGGTATTTCATTGTGGTTTTGATTTGCATTTCTCTAATGACCAGTGATGATGAGCTTTTTTTCATATGTTTATTGGCTGCATAAATGTGTTCTTTTGAGAAGTGTCTGTTCACATCCTTTGCCCACTTTTTGATGGAGTTGTTTGCTTTTTTCTTGTAAATTTGTTTATGTTCCTTGTAGATTCTGAATATTAGACCTTTTTCAGATGGATACATTGCAAAAATTTTCTCCCATTCTGTAGGTTGCCTGTTCACTCTGATGAGTTTTCCCAACACCATTTATTAAATAGGAATGCTTTCCCCATTGCTGGTCTTTGCCAGGATTCTTAAAGATCAGATGGTTGTAGATGTGTGGCGTTATTTCTGAGGCCTCTGTTGTGTTCCATTGGTCTATATATCTGTTTTGGTACCCGTACCATGCTGTTTTGGTTACTGTAGCCTTGTGGTATAGTTTGAAGTCAGCATGATGCATCCAGCTTTGTTCTTTTTGCTTAGGATTAGTTCCATATGAAATTTAAAGTAGATTTTCTAATTCTGTGAAGAAAGTCAATGCTAGCTTGATGGGAATAGCATTGAATCTATAAATCACCTCAGGCGGTATGGCCATTTTCATGATATTGATTCTTCCTATCCATGAGCATGGAATGTTTTTCCATTTGTTTGTGTCCTCTCTTATTTCCTTGAGCAGTGGTTTGTAGTTCTTCTTGAAGAGGTCCTTTGCATCCCTTGTAAGTTGTATTCATAGGTGTTTTATTCTCTTTGTAGTAATTGTGAATGGGAGTTTACTCATGATTTGGCCCTGTTTGTCTATTATTGGTGTAGGGGAATGCTTGTGATGTTTGCACATTGATTGTGTATCCTGAGACTTTGCTGAAATTACTTATCAGCTTAAGGAGATTTTGGGCTGAGATGATGGGGTTTTCTAAATATACAATCATGTCATCTGCAAACAGAGACAATTTGAATTCTCCATTTTCTGGTGTTATGTTCCCTAGTGTCCCAGATATCATCAGCTTTTAGTTATGATATTGTCCTAGCAGTGTTAATGCTGGGACTGCCAGGAATTAATGCCTCACCTGAACCTCTTGCTAAGCCCCTTTCCCCAGGTATTTCTGCAACTTCTCCAGTGATCTTTTACGCCTACCCTTGAAAGTCCTGCTTGTATCTCCCTGTGGCTCCTGTTGCTGTGGAAACCAGCTGCCCTCATTATTAGTGGAACCTCTATTCCTCCATATTCTGTGAGGTATGTGCCAAGCTGAGTGCTGCTTTTCTCCTGCTTGAATCCATCTCATGGTGTAGATCCTTGGCAATTGACGTGGGCTCCTGATGCTCTTTGGATATAAGAAAGAGAATGTGCATTCCTTCTAGTTGTTATAAATCGGGAGGGTCCCACAAGAGAATTGCTTGAGCCCTGACATGTTAAAGAGAGGATCATTTTTCAGTAAATTCCACAGTCTCTTTTCTCCTAGCCTCATGTGTGTATATCAGGGCAGCTGAGTTAAGGCAATTTCCAAACAGCTTTGTCATAAAGAATGTAGAAACTGTGACTCCCCTTCTGCTTTGAGACTCTGTTGCTGAGTGTATTCATCATAATGGAGTTATTTTTAAAAATGTCAGATTCTGTCCCATGGCCCTACAGTCTCTCACTGCCACCTGACTTCAGTGACAGCCTTTTCCCCACAGCCCCTAAAGCAAAGGGAGTCCTTTAGCAATTTCTGCACGTATCTCGGTGCCAATTGTGGATCCCATATAAGTTTTTTCTTCTTTCTCTCAATTTTTCTAATTCCACCCCACTCTCAGCCTCACTGGCACTGTTGTGGATCAGGGGATGGAAGTAGATGCTTAGTGGGAGGGGTGTTGCCACCTCCACCTCACCATGAGATGAGACCACTGCCGACATCTCATTATAATGTTGTTCCGTCAGATCAGATGATAGAATCTCATCTAGGCATAAACTGAGGCAAAAATTCATATTATGAGCATAGGGACCTTCACGGAGAATGGGTAGAACCTAGACCTACGCACATTCCATTTCCTATCATTTTTGACTCAACTGGGTTAGACCCAAGTTACTCAGTCTGATGAAAACCACAGATTCCTTTCAGTCTTAGTTCTCATTGATCGTACTTCCAGTCAGTCCCAGGTATCCCAGTAGGCCACAGTTATTAAAGAGTATACAGTTTTAAAGCATTTTTTCTCACCAGTACTTACAAATTTCTCCTCCTCAAAACATAAAAGGTAAAATTATGATAATAGTAAACCTAGAGAACACACAATGGTAAAAAAAAAAAAAAAAAAAAAATCAATGGTCTTATCATCGACAGATTTCCTGGAGTTGAAAATAGAAAAAAAATTCTATTTTTCTTTCCCTTCATGCCTCTGTGATATCTTAAAAGTTGAATTGGGATCATATGTAATTTCATACTTTCCTCTAAAAATATTAAGGGTTATAAAACCAGAGATTTAAGATTCTATTATTGATTAATTTGACTGAAGAAGTAAAAAGACAAAACAAAATTGTATTATAGCTAATATAAAACATCTCCATTACTGATTTTCTTTGAAGCAATCCTGGAAACTTTTTTCAGAGGCTGACCCCTTCCTCATCTACGACTTCATCTACCACCACAAGAAAAAGAAAAACCAATGAAATAAAAAATGTGAGGTGACATTTTCAATTTTGTCCTGCCTCAATGTAATGGAAACCCTTTACCTTCACTTCCAGTGAGTAAGTGGCCAGTTGCTATGATTGGTAGGTTCCATTGCCCCCCTGAGATGCTGGGAAAGGGACAAATCATAAATGCTACTCAATAATTCTGATTTTAGTGAGATTTTTCTCTCCACCCAGGAGATGCCTACAAAATGATTCATGGGTGCTTTGAACAGGATTGGCCAACTCTTATTTCAAGAGAATTGAGAAAAGGAGATTTATGATGACACAGTCTGCCTGTTTTCCAGGCTGATGTTTGCAATATGTTTTAGAGAGCAGGTCAGTTCTGCTGCTATTTCATTCTCCTGGCAGGCCTTTGCCTTCTACACGGCAGGGTCCCTTCATGTGGGAAATTAGCTAACAAACTTGAGATTGGCAAGAAAGACAGGCATGTAAATTCAATGTAATAAAGAATGCATTAAGGCAAACTTTCATAAAAACTAAAAAATATGCACTTATTTTTGACAATGCATGATTATATACCCAATGACAATGGGTTACATGAATAAAGGGTTCATACGTGCTGATTTCTGGAATGTCTGCCGTCCCACTATCCTTTTTCATTTTACCCGCTCTAACACCTCCTCTTTCATGCTTAGATTGGGAAAAGAAATGTAAAATGAAGCACGACAGGAAAGATCGTTCATCGGGTTCAGGAGGAGCTGAGGCAAATTGTAAGTTAACAGTCTGACAGGTAAAGCTGCTGCTCTTCTGAAATTTACTGTCTAATTTTGCAGCCCAAATTGGATTGGGTAAAGTTGTATCCAGGGCACTTTTACAAATGGAAAGTATTCAGGCTGATCTTGCTCTGTGACTTGAAGCCTACTGCCCTGCCCTCTCTTGCAAGGCAAACTACGCAGATAAGTCCCATACATGGCAGTACTGACAATAGACCATGGAGCTAAGGGCCTCTCTTATTCCTTTTGCAAGCCAGCAGTACTCACAGCTGGTGAATTTGCCATTTTCTGAGATCGTCAGAGAGTCATATATAGCAAATATATATTTCAGTTGACAAGCAAAAGTGTGCAAGAAACAACTTTCTTTGTTTTCCAAATCTCTACTTAATGTTATTTTCAAGCCCATTTCACTAGGATTGAACAACATAGTCTCACTCAATTTGGAGTCTCCTCTTCCTCCTGCCATTCTAGCCCTAGACTTGAGTCTAAGTCTCAGATGATGTGAATAAAGCTGACACTTCCTAACAAGAGCTCATTCCGACTTTGGTGCTTACAGGTACCCATTGTTCCACACTGGTCGTCACTGGGACATCCCTAAATCATGTCCACATGACTCTTTCCTCTACTTCTGAAATATGGAGTTATCCTACTGCTTTTACGCCCCATTAGGGGTTCCAGAATTTCCGCTAGGGGCCTAAAACTCTAGCAGAAATTGCTATCCATCTGCATAGTGTGGTCCTGGCCCAGAGAGCAATCCTCTTGCTCATTTCATTATCCAAAACTTATTTCATGACTCACCCATGACTCCTCTCCTTTTAACTCAGAAGCCCATTTTCTCTCTTTTCCCTTTAAGATTCTGTAGCACAGGGCCAGGCTCACGCCTGTAATCAAAGCACTTTGGGAGGCCGAGGAGGGTGGATCTCCCGAGGTCAGGAGTTTGAGACCAGCCTGGCCAACATGGTGAAACCCCATCTCTACTAAAAACACAAAAATTAGCCAGGACTGGTGGCACACATCTGTAATCCCAGCTACTCAGGAGGCTGAGGCAAGAGAATCGCTTGAACCTGGGAGGCAGAGGTTGCAGTGAGCCGAGATCGTGCCACTTCACTCTAGCCTACACAAAAGAGCAAAACTCTGTCTCAATAAATAAATAAATAAATAAATAAATAAATAAATAAATAAATGAATAAATAAAAAAGATCCTGTAGCACTCATCTAGCACTTGATAAAAGGAACTGTCTTGTTGTTGAGCTTTCCATGAATGCTTGCAGGACATTTTAGGGATGGGCTCCTTTCCCTTTACAGTCTAACGGGCATCCATATGCCTTCCTCATACAAATTAGTACTCTATCTTGAAGCTAAAAAGTCCACATGCTCATGTAGAGAGGCAAAGAAAGGAAGCACAGGTAACGGGAGAAGAATGAAGGTTCATGTTATAGGCTATAAAGATCATGCATCAACAAGTAAAAATCATGCCACACACGTATTTTCTCTTCTGCACTGCATTAATAAGCTCAAAGGTAATATCTCTGTGTTAACCATCTTTTGTTTATTTCAGCTCAATGACTCATTTGATGGATGATAGTTGTGCTGTAGGCTGACCTGATTACAAGTGCAATGAAATCACAAGGAGGAAATTAAAAAATAAAACTTCCCACCAGAACATTTATTCTCAAGATAAATCGGGAAACAATATCTGTGAATATGATTAATGGATAAACCCAAAGATGATTCCTCTGTCATCTCTTTTTTGGTAACTCACAGCAAGTTTGGTTCAATTCATTCCACGTTTGTTGACTTTCTACATATTGCTGCTGTATGAGTCTCTGGTGATACAGAAAAGAGACAGACATGATTGTGGAGTTACAGTGCTTGGAATTTCTTAGCAGGCGGGCATGCTACATAGATATAAATATGAATACAGATATTCAAGAAACTATTATTTTCTTAAATAAAATATTCATTTTTGAGGACAGTACCCCAAGAGGTATTTTAGTTGGAGAAAAAAAAAAAAAAATATATATATATATAAAATGTATGGTGTTTTCAGGTGGGCTGGAAGTGGGCTGCAACTTCACAAGCCAGGAAGCTCATCCAAAAACGAAATAGATGCTGTTTAGGGGTAGTTAACTAAGGAGCAATTTTATGCTAAGGAGCAATTTTATGCTAAGGCGCAATTTTATGCTGTATACAGACCTTTATTTAAAATCCAAAGGTTCTCTGTTATTTGGGCAAGTCTTGAATTGGGTACACATACAAAGTGCATAATTATCTAAACCTAGACATTTTCAAAAGCAAAAGGGGGCACTATTAATAATGATGCTGTGAGGAAAGGAGGCATAAACCTGAAAGTATGGCTTTCCATGTCTTGCAGAACTGACTGTCAGAGTTAATGAAAATAATATAAGGGCTAACTAAAACAAACAATGACATCTCTGAAACAAACTTCTCCTGAATGGAATATCACAGCTGCCATAGAAGTAGTCATTTCGTATTTGTGGTAAGAATGAAGCAGTCTCCCCAGAATAATTCCACAAACATACTTGCTCCCTCCAGAATTCACTGGTTGCAAATTCCCTGACCTGGGGGTTTACTGTTCCCAGATCTGAAGTTACCACAATATTTACTTGGTCTTGGGCTAATAGGAAAAAAACTTTAGAAAGATGATGAGTATTAGATACCAAGTAAACAGTATTATTTGAGTGTGCTTCTTTGCATGAGGCATTGAATTTGTGAGTGATGCTGAGGTTTGAATGTATATTTATGTAACTTCACTGTAGGCTATTTTAGTAGCATTACATATTATTCCTTTTATAAAATAGTATATAATACTTCTTGTAGATCATTTAAAAAATATAAAAAAATACAGAAGAAAATAGAATCATATATAAACCCTAGAGAGAGAACATTTTGGTATCTTTCCATTGGTATATTTCATGTAGTTGAGATTATACTGTACATGAAATTTTTTTCTTCCCTTTCCATCTACTATTATACTACTTTAATGCAATTATTATGCAATATTCAATAATGGTGATATCTAATGTTTATGGGTGCTAATTTATATGATATAATTTAACCCATGTGACAGTCCTACAAGGTAGGCATGTTCATGAACCCATTTTGCAGATGAAGAAACTGGGCAAAGTTTGGTGAGGGAATTTGTTCAAGGTTTCACTACACTTAAAACAGATCTTGGGATTGAACCAAGTCTGAATGATACCAGAGTTCAGGTGCTTAACCAACAGGCTGTGCTGGATCAGTTAAGTTTTGGTTGTGAAAATAGAAGCCACTCTAAGTTGTTTCACTATAAAGGAATTTGACATAGGGAATAACGCTTATACAATCTTTATATATGCCTCCCATTGGAAGGAAGCAATGGTCAGGAAGGCTTTAGATCTAGAAACACAAATATTGTGGTGATACCACTACTACTGAGCTTAGTTGCTTGCAGAACCTGGGAGCTGCTGGCAAAGCCCCACATCAGCCTTTCGCTGACACCCAGACACATGCCTAGATCTTCTACTAGAAGCAAAGCAATGGCCCGCTTTTTCTTCTGCTTTGCAAACTTCACAAAGTGCCACGCCAATGATATTCAAACAGGCCCTTGAGAAACGTGGTTTCCATGCTTTCAGCCCCTGTCTACAAGGGGAAAGTTTAGAAGGACAGAAAGAATACGGAACATCCACAGATAATATCAGGCTCACAGGTTATAAGACAAACCACAATTTACCTAATTTTTCTATCATTGTGCATCTAGGTTGTTTCCTAGCCTGTGGCTACACATTTCACTGGCTCATATGCCCACCTGCATATATCTTAGCCACACACCCTGTTTCAGTTCTTCCAGGGAGAACTGAGTATGCAGGTGGGCACGTGACCCAGGGAGAACTGAAATTGGAGTGTGTGGTTAAGATATATCCCAGGTGAGCTCACAAATGTTCTGCTCTTCCACTGCTGGCCACCTGCTGATGCTTACTGTTCAAACAGCCACTTGAGGGCAGCACCTCCCCACTACCACAGACGCTGGCACCCGACATGGTGATGCTGGCTTGTCTCCCTAGGCTAGGCCTCCCCATCTTCCTAAAGCTGCAGACTCTCAGGTTGCCAAGGCACATCTTCATCCATCTGTGCTGAACCCAACCAAGGTTCTTCGCCAAGTGAAGAATGCTCTGCAATAGGTCTTCTAACTTCTTCCCTGAGTACTAAACAGAGTTTTCAGGCCTCTCTGTCTCATTTATGGAAACAGCTACTTTAGTGTCTGAGGGTGATTCTCTCTCCCTTGTGGCTAGACTGACCTATGGGCCTGGTCACAGGCACATGTCTCATTGTCTACCGTCTATTCATCTCTATTGCTTGATGTCCAACCTCTGAGAAACTCTTTCTTTGATGAAAATCAACTCATGGAAAAAACAAAAACAAAACCAAAAAAATTCCAGTTAACTGCCAGCTCTGACACTTCACAACACATGCATTTATTGTTGGAACCCTTAGGTTCAGAAACTTTCTGTATATCTACTGCTACAATGAAAATTTTGGCCATCACTCTTTGTTCACATTCTCTCCTTAGAGAAGGCTGTGATACATATTGGCAAATTTCTTCCAAAAGATCACAGCAATTCATGCTTCCACCATCCAGTGACAGTGCCTATATTTGTACCCTGGTCACTGCACTCGCCACTGAATGGTATTTTATCTGTCTATGGAAACATTATATTTATGTGTGAGTGTGTGCATGCATATATATACACACACACACATATGTGCGTGTATATGTATATATGGGTGTGTATTTCCCTCAGGATGTTCTGTTCACCATATTAAAATAAATCATGCCTCAATTCTCTCTGCTATTTCCTTGAGACTCCAAAACACTGAACCTTCCAAAAAATGTGAGAATGGCAACAGCCCTAACTTATCTGTTTACTCCATTGTAAGTGTGATAATTGCAGCTGTTGATTGATTGCAAGGTATTCTTCCAGAGGTTGAAGGGGTATATTGCTAAGGAGTAGGTTTAACTGCAAGTGACCAAAAAGCCAAAATAATAGTGGCTTAAACTAGACAGATTTTTTTTTTTATCTGTCATCTAGGGACAAAATCAGTAGTTAACCAGGCCAAGGCTGGTATGAGATTCCTGGAACCCAGGTTCTCTTCATTTTTAATTCTCAAGTTTGCATCCACTTTCCATCCAGCAAGAAGAAGAAAAGGGAAGAAAAAGATGTGGTTCCTCCTTCAAAAGACATTTTCTAGAAGCTGCATGCATAACCCCAAGAATATAGGTAAGTTCAGCTGCAAGAAAGTATGGGAAATTCAGTCTTTATTCTATGTAATTGTTTTCCAACTAAAAATAAGAGAAGTTAAATAAAGAACAGATATAAAAGGACAAATAGAAGTCTCTCACCTGCAGGTATATAAGGTATGAATATCTGTTCTTAAATTACTCACAATTTACTTATTTCTTGGAAATCCTGGGTTCCTCCTTTACATGGTAAACACAATGTTGTGGATAATGGCCTACTTCTTTCTTTCTTTTAATTATAGTCTGATTTTCCTTTGACATAGATTATAGTTTCAGAGATGCTTCAAATTCATTTTGGACTTCAAGTGGCTGAAGTTTCTCATACTTTACTTTCTTTTGTAGCCAGCCTCTCTGGTCATTAATTGATCTGAGAAGAAACACTCAAATGCAGCTGGTAAGTTGTGAGCCTGGAGGTTTGTTTCATATCTTTTCCTTGACAAAAGAAAGATGAAAGCGTACTAAAACATGAGGAAGCAGAGAAATTGAGAAAGAGGGAAATGAAGACAATGAATATAACCTCGATTATTCAAATTAAAAAACTTAGTTTGGCCATTCCAGGGAACTTTAATGGAGATATACATAAGTTGGCTCAGGGCAGTTTACAGAGGCAGGATTTCACCATGATATGTATGTCGTACATCTCATAAAATGCACAAGAGCAAAAAATTTAGGTAATATAATTTAGTAAGTTATTAGTGAGATGAGTAAAGATGGTGATATAAGCTTTACTGACTAGCAACCATAAATAAATAACAGGTATATCTCAGGCAATGAATCTCAGAAGTGTTTCTTATCACTCATAACCACTTGGCAAATGGTCTTTCTACTGTCCAATTGGTTGGGAAAAATTTCCCTATTTAATTTTACATCCATCTTTATTTCCAGCTTTCTCATCTTTTGCCTGAACCATGCATATAAGCAGTGTGCCTTACTCAAGAAGCATTTTCTACATGAAGCAATTTGTGTATAGTTGATACCCAATTCAGATACATACATTGATGGAGGGCTTTTGTCTGAGGATTGTATTACTAGAATATGCCTTTAAAAAAATCTATATACCACATCTGCTAGGATGACTATAAAAAAACAAAACCAGAAAACAACAAGCATTGGTGGGGATGTGGAAAAGCTAGAATTCTCATACATTGCTGGTGGGAGTGTAAAATGATGCAGTCCTCATAGAGAATATTATAGTTTGGTGGTTCCTCAAAAAGCTAACCACAGAATTATAGTATGACCAAGAAATTCCACTCTGAAAAGAATTGAAAACAAGAACTCAAACACATACTTGTATGTCAATATTCATTGCAGCATTATTCTCAATAGCCAGAGGTGGAAACAACCCAATGATCTGGCAACAGATGAATCAATAAACAAATGTGGTACATATGCACAATAAAGTATTAGTCAACCATGAAAAGAATGAAGTTTTGATATATGCTACAATATGGAGGGAACCTAAATACATTATACATAATGAAATAAGTCAGACACAATAGGACAAATATTGTATAATTTCACTTATATAAAATATCTAGAATAGGCAAACTTATAAAAAGAACATAGATTAGAGATTACTAGTGGCCTAGGGGAGGGGGAATAGGGAGTTATAATTTAATGGGTACAGAGTTTCTGTTAGGTGTGATTAAATAGCTGTGGAGAAAGACTGTGAAGATGATTGCATAATATGATGAATGTAAAATTAATGCCACTAAATTATTCGCCAAAAATGGTTAAACTTACAAATTTTATTATATGTATTTTACCATAATAAAAAAAAAACATTTACTTTAATCTTTCACATTGAAATCCGGCTATGGTTTGAGTTGGTGCCCTTCAAATCTCAATTGAAATTTCACCCCCAAGGTGCCGGTGTTGGCAGTGGGTCCTAGTGGGAGGTGTTTGGGTCATGGGGGAAAATCCCTCATGAATGGCTTGGTGCTGTTCTCATGGTAGTGAGTGACTCTCCCTCTGGCCAGACTGGATTAGTTCTCATGGGAATGTTCCCACAGGAGTGGGTTTTTATAAAGCCAGGATGCCCCTTGAGTTTTGTCAGTTTGCGATGTCTGCTTTCCCTTTGACCTTCTCCATCATGTTATGATGCAGCTCTAAAGCTCTTTCCAGAAGCCGAGCAGATGCTGGTACTATGCTTCTTGAACAGCCTGTGGAACTGTGAGTTAATAAACTTCATTTCCCTATAA